GGAGGTGGGGGGGGGGGGACGACTAGCATATCACACAGCAGGGGCCTGGTCTGGGGGCAGGCAGACAAGACTCTCTGGGACATCACTCAGAAAAACAGATGCGGGACTAGTGGAAACACGGTCCAAGACCCTAGGGTCAGACCGCAAGAGCACAGCGTGCTGGAGGCAGGCATGGAGAACAGGGAGGCTGAGCAGGGGGGACCAAAGTAGGGCTCCTTACCCGCAGCACTGAGACCAAGGCTCAGAGCTATGCTTCAGAAGAGCTCCTACCCGCAAGGCTGCAGCTTGATCAATGAGCCTTTCTCACCTCCCTCATCACTCATTCTTGTGAGCTCCTTATTGAGCTCTTTCCTATTCTCCTCTGCACCACTGCCTCAGTTCAGCCCCATTCAAGCCAGGGCCACCACCGTATCCTAATGAGCCCCTGGGCTCCATCCTGCTCCAACCTCCAACATTTAGGCTTCCTGCCACCAGGCAGCCAGGCAGTGTGGTGCCTCATCTTCAGGCAGCTTAGAATGGCGATGGACAACTGAACAGACCGTCTTTCTCAACCTAGCTTGGTCTGCCTAAAAATCGCCCATGACCCTCCATCATGAGAAGCTAAAATTCAAACTCCTCAGCATGGAACTCAGTCAGTGGCCATCATCTCTCACCAACATCCCCTGCCACCATTTGCCTATCAATCTGTCAAGGGCAGCAGCCTGGCGCCCTTTCACACCATTCCATTTTAATGCCTTTGTTGTGTGTTTCCTCTACTAGAAAACCCTCTTGTTCCTCCAACAGGGATACCCCCCACCCCCACTGGCCAGGCTCCCAGAGCAGCCCATACTCCTAGGACATGAGTGCCCCCAACCAGACTGTGTGGCCCACTAGAGCAGAACCGTAGAACTGTATTTTATCTCTCTGCACCTCCAGGGCCTAACACAGTGCCCAAGACACGGCTCCTTACAAGCCAAGAGTTGGGGATAGATAGACCATATATGTGCATGCCCATGCCTCTAGCGGGCATCTTTACCTGTCATTGGGGGTCAGCTGGCAACGTCTGATGTCTGGCACAGAAGTGACCCCGCAGCGCTTGTACTGCCCATCCCCAATGGATCGGGATACCTCCAGCACACCTAAGACACGCCCATCCCTAAAACAAAGGGAAAACAATTCAGATTCCATCTGCCAGATCATAAGGCCACAGTACTTACAATCTGATCTTAAAATCAGAAAAATAGGACAGAATGAAAGATGTAGCCTGCAGAATTCACATTAAACAACATCATGCCCTAGCTGGTTTGGCTCAGTGGACAGAGCGTCAGCCTGCGATTGAAAGGTCCCAGGTTCGATTCTGGTCAAGGGCACATGCCTGGGTTGTGGGCTCGATCCCCAGTGGGGGCTGTGCAGGAGACAGTCAATCATGATTTTCTCTCATCATTGATGTTTCTATCTCTTTCTCCCTTTCTCTCTGAAATCAATAAAAATATGAAACAAATAATAATAATAATTAAAAAAAACAGCATCATCTCCTGATCTCAAATAATACACAGGAGATGTGCTGAGTCTCCATTGCTCTACGTCAAGCATGCCAAACTCTCAGCCCACAACAAATATTTTTGCTGCCCAGCCAATATAACAGTTATGTAAGAAACATTTTAATAAAAATTTCATAACTTAATTTTTACAATATCCTGTTACACATAATTATTAATAATGAACTACAATGTTCTAATGACTGATTACTATAATCGTGTTGCATTCATTTCCCTGATGCACAGGTGCACCATTTCTCTCACTAATACCAGCAGCGAATATTTTAGCGGCCCATTGCCACGTCCTTAGTCTTGGACTAACTTGTTTGGTGTGTGCTCCAGGAAATATTTCGCTTTCAGAGAACAAGAAAAATAGGTTTATTTGCGTTACACTTATTAATATGTGTAGTTATTCACTGTCTGGTAAGTCAATGTTCAAGGAAAAATATTAATTTATATTAAAATCTTCCATTATTTTATGTTAACGATGACTCATTTATTTCAGCCCTTCGTATTCAGCATGTCTCTATCAAAATAAACCTATGTTTCTATGAAAATTGAAGCTTTTGTTTTTTTGCGGCCCACATAAACTTAAACCTTGTTTATTTGGCCTGTGTTAGCCTTTGAGTTTGACATGTTTACTCTAGGTCCATGGTTGGCAAACTACGGCTCGCAAGCCACATGCGGCTCTTTGGCCCCTTGAGTGTGGCTCTTCCACAAAATACCACGTGCGGGCACACATACAGTGCGACTGAAACTTCATGGCCCATGTGCATAAGTCGGTTTCCGGCCTGGGCGAGGCGATTTTGAAGAAGTACTGTTGATATTTGGCTCTGTTGACTAATGAGTTTGCCGACCACTGACCTAGGTCATTAATATTCCTGCGGCCTCAGCCAGGCTGCACATTTGAGGGAACAGTGCCCCCTCTGGCTGCACTTATGTGGTCGCAATGGCCAGTTGATTTGCCCATAGCTGGGAGTGGACTTAACTGGACTGAATAGGGGCTTGGCTTTGTTTTTATCTTAAAGCTCCTTAGGTGATTTGAGCATGCACACAGGGTTAAGTAAAGGTGGAACAGAAGACTATTTTGCATTTCAATCTAATTAGGTTTGGAAAATACTCAAAGTGACCATTCCCAGACTCCACAGCATCTTTTGTTTCCACTGGGTATGAGTATGATTAACTTACATACAATTGGTAACACTCTGCATAGCATTACACTTTTACCCATCCTATTTTTAGATAACGGATACAAAGATGGTAGGGTGACCCATAAGTGGGACCATGCTGAAATACAGGGGAACAGCAGTCCTTGACTCAAGGCCCCAAGAACAATTCTGGTGGTGCTACCACTGTGTGACCTTAGGCAGCTGCCACTGGGGGCCCTCAGACTCTCATGTACACAGCCAGAGGAGAAACCACACTGGAGAAGATGCAGGAGAGCTTTGGGCAAACACCAAAGCTGGGCCTGGAGATGCTGTGTGAATGGAGGCACATGGCAGAACATCCTCGCCTGGGCCTGGGCCACTGTCTCAGTCAGAATTCAGCCTGGTCCTGGCCCTACACTGTGTCCAGTCACTCTCCCCGTGGGAACAGCTGAGGGATCAGCAACAGCCTTAACCAGGCACCTGAAAGAAGCAGTACTCCCCATACAATTACTACAGCAAACAGCAGGGGGCGAGGTACACAGGAGCAGAAGTGAAGATGGACAGGGTAGGGTTGGGGGAATCCCTCAGCCCTAAGAGCGCCATTAAGGAAGCCCTCAAAGCATAAGAATCCAACCAAGTGCTTATTCAGTGACCCAATGGCCAGGTGCCTGGTGTGGACACCCCTCCGCCACATCATGAATGCAGCTCGTTTCAAGGAGACCGAGTCATGACCTGGGCACAGGGCTGGACCACCACCTTCATGCTCAGACAAGTTCAACAGGACTACATGCTTCTTCACTACCCTCAGAGTTCCCCCAGACCACCGTGCTGGGGAATGAGGGGCTCTTAAGTTTCTACCCATCAATCCTGGCACATTCCCCACTTTTGCTCAGAATTGTGTTAGTTCCCATCCCTTTCCCATCTGCCCATCAATCATAGCTTCATGCTTCCTCAGCCAGGCAACTATTTTCCTGCTAGTTACACAGACAGAAGTCCTGATCTCTGTGATCTTTGCTGGTACTTCCTGTTACAGTTTCTCCTTCACAATGAGAGAGGGAGGCACTGAGACGGTTGCCCTGGCGGCCAGGATAAGCTGCACACTGCTCTAACATCAGCTCCTCTAGCATATCAGCAAAAGCAGGACACAGTCGGTCTCAATGCTTTTGCGTCCTCTTCTGACTCAGATGCCCAAGTCCTGTGTCTTACTATGATGGATGCTAACGAAGTAACTGAAGGTGGATTCCAGAACAGCGCCTTTTCGATATCAGAGACCTGAATGTGACCTGGTCCCAGACACATGCACTGCATATTTGTTTATTTAATATATTTTTATTGATTTTCTTTTACAAAGAGGAAGGGAGAGGGATAGAGAGTTAGGGTAGTTAGAAACATCAATGAAACACCGATCAGCTGCCTCCTGCACACCCCCTACAGGGGATCAAGCCCACAACCAAGATACATACCCTGGACTGGAATCAAACCAGGGACCATTCAATCCGAGGCAGATGCTCGCCACTGAGCCAAATCAGTTAGGGCTGTACTGCATATTTACATCTAAATGCTACACATGCAAGCTTGCCTCATCTGTCCTGTCCAGTTGCCTTCCTCGTAAAATAAAAATAAAACTGCACCTTCTCAGAGAAGTCCACTGAGATAGTGTGACACACTGCTGCACACAGTATGCTACCTTTGGTGGAAGAAAGTAGGAAAAATAAGAATCTGTACACAGATTTGCTTCTTTCTGTAAGAAGAAACATTGGAGAGAATCCAGAACTATGAATAAGGGGAACAGGCACGGAATCTATAAATAAGCCTTTTTATTTAACCATGTAAATGTGGGTTTTTACTTTTTTAATTATAGTAAAAATATACACAAGGTAAGATTTGCCTTTAACTATTTTTAATGTACAGTTGAGTGGCATTAACTGAGTTCACACTATTGTGCAGCCATCACCACCATCATCTCCAGAACTCTCTTCATCTTCCCAAACTGAACCTCTGTTAAACACTCACACCACACCCTCTTCCCTGGAGACCCCCATTTCACTTCCTGTCTCTATGAATCTGGCCATTCTATGCACCTCATATTCATGGAATCATACAGTGTTTGTCCTTCAGTGACTGGCTCATTTCACTCAGCATCATGTCCTCAAGGTTGATCCATGCTGTAGCCAATGAGATGATTTCCTTCTTTTATAAGGCTGAATAGTATCCACTATATGGATGGACCACATCTGTTTATCACTTCACCTACTGATGGACACTAGGATTGCTTCCACTGTTTGGCTGTTGTCAATAATCCTATATAATAAAAGCCCAGCGACCGAATGGCACAACAACCGGAACGACCATAGCCCCTCACCCTGGCTGGCCCTGCCCCTGATTGGCCCCCATCGGGGCGGGCTGACTGGACCCCACCAGTGTATGAATTCATGCACTGGGCCTCTAGGATTACTATAAACATGTATGTGCACACACCCGTCCAAATCCTTGCTTGCAATTATTTTGTGGAATTGCTGGATCACATGGTAATTCCATTTTTAATATTAGAGGAACCTCCATACTGTTTTCCACCACAACTGCACCATTTTACATCCCCAACAACAGTGCACAAGGTTCCGATTTCACCATGTAATTAATATAGGCTTGTAATATAGGGGGAAAAGCCCTAAAATCTAAGACCAATTGAAACTAGTGATAATGACCAAGGTGGTTACACAAGCACAGTGAAAGCAATTATTCTAGGTTTACAAACATGTCCTTCATGAGAAACAGTTCAAGGACAAGAGAAAAGGAACTCAAACTTTGTAATAGTGATAATGCAAATAAACTTACTGTTATTAGGAACCAAGATCTTCAGCAAAAAGGACAGATCTATGACTACTGACTCACAAAAGAGAAAGCCCTGTACTGTTAAATTTGAATAATAGCAGCCTACGCTCACCATCTAAAGTAAAGAGTGCTGAACAGACTTAAAATTAGTGACATCCCAGGTGAAACAAGAGTCCCCAGCACACGGAGCTAGATTTTAAAGATGAATGGAAGAGTCAGCTCAAAGGCACTCCCTTTCACTGGCTACCTTGGGGGTAATGTGAGCAGGAAACGCACTAGGACCCTATGACTAGCATTAGCACTGAAATCACACCCCCTGACAAATGGTGGTTCACAGAGCAAGGAGAGAGGAGAAAGGGAGAGAAGCGGAGTGAAAAGGAAAACCACTAGGCTCCTGGGTAGCTCAGTTGGTTACAGCATTTTTCTGATAGCCCAAGGTTGCAGTTTCAACCCCATCAGGGCACATACAAGAATCAATCAATGAATAAGTTAAATTAACAAATCAATCTTTCTCTCTTTCCCACCTGCTCCCCTCTGTCTCTGAACATCAATCAAAAAAAAAAAAAAAATGAGGGAAAAATCCCACTAATTTCCATAAGTGCAGGGGGCCAGCTTACTTTGCAAATTGATAATGAAAGAATTGAACATCGACCCTGCTTTCTGGAAAGCAAGTATGGTTCATTCATACCCCACTGATGAAGGAAAGCCTCTCCTTGTAGGATGCCTGTTAATACCTGTGGCAGGAATTCCAGAAGCAGGAAATCATCTTTGTCATCCCTATGAAATAGATTCAGACAAGAATCACTAAGGGACCTACCACCATGAGATGAAAGATGGATGCAAAACAGAATGTTCCCAAGGTGCTAAAGCACATCTCTCCAGATCACCTGCTAATCACACAGGAAAACCTGTCCCTTTCCCTGTGGGGACTCATTACCACCAAAGTCCAGTGCTGGGAACTCAGCAACAGTGACCTGATGTGGCCACTGAAGTGGGGGATTATCAAATATAGGCCACCCCCCAATAAATATTTTTCTAAAAATGTTTAATCTGAATCTAAAGAAGACTTTAGAGCTAATTTCTAGTTTATAGGAAAAACATGCAAACAACTTAACCCCTTCCCCGGCAGAAACGTGTATACTCGTTTTCACAAAATGTTCTTTTTCAGTCGTCGACGAGTATACTAAGAAAATATGGTAAAAAAATATGGTTTATAGGAAGACGAGTTACAAACTGTTTTCATAACCAGCATCAAAAATACTATATAGAACCAAAATAAAAAAATTAGTCTGAAAAAGAAACGTTTTTAACAAAAAAATTGTTGGGGAAGGGGTTAAATGATACCATGAAAACACAGGCAAACTCAGAACGTGACCCTATATAACCACTGGCCTAGACAACTGCATGATCCAACCTGAGGAAGAGTGGACACCATTCTACACTGAATAATGTGAATCCAAGGTGAGCATGAGCGCTGGCTGGACCCTGCTTTCAAACCAAGACACTTTGGGGACAACTTGGAGAAATATGAATACAGACAGAATTACAGATAACCTAAAGAATTATTTTCTTAAGTGTTATCTGCAACTAACTTCCAGGTAGTTCTGCCTAGCATACACACACACGAAGCAAATATGGCAAAATGTTAATTACTAAATCTAGGTGGTAAATATTAAAATGTTTACTCTAATTTTATAAAATGTTTGATAATTTTAATGAAGTGGGAAGGGTAGAGGGAAATAAATGCCCACCAGTCCTGGACTCGGGCAGTTGGGATCACAACCTGGCCCTGCTGCTGAGGAGCAAGGTCCCTGCCACCTGAGCCCCTTGCCCTCTTCTCTGAAGTGCAGGGTTCACCTTGAGCACACTGTCAAATGAGCTCCCTAAGGTGGGTACTGGGAAAAAGGAAGAACCTGCAACAGAGCTGACCATTCACCCACAGGACCGTCAATGTCAAAAGCCTTTCCAAGGAGTTCAGGCAAAGCAGAATTTTAAAGTTATAAGAAAGGGCAGAAAAGATGATGCTGACATTAACACTGGGATCACATTCTCGACCATTAACTTCTGCAGCAGCCACAATGGGAAAATGGGGCACGTGCCACTGCCCAAGGTCTAGAAAAGGGGTGGGCAAACTTTTTGACTCGAGGGCCACAATGGGTTCTTAAACTGGACCGGAGGGCCGGAACAAAAGCATGGATGGAGTGTTTGTGTGAACTAATATAAATTCAAAGTAAACATCATTACATAAAAGGGTACGGTCTTTTTTTTTCAGTGGTTTTATTCATTTCAAGCGGGCCGTAGTTTGCCCACGGCTGGTCTAGAACCATGCCCACAGTCCCATCAGTGCTAAGATGACCACACTATGACCAAGGTTATCTCTTACTACCATTCCAGCTATTTTGAACAAACTCAAAGAGTGCTGCCTCCTCTCCAGACCTCTCTGCACTGCTGGCTAGAATCAGCCTGGAATAAAACTTGTCTAAGGACAAGTGATTGCAGCCTTATATTACTGATATTTCTCTCTCATCTCCAACAAAAATGTAAGACTAATGGTCAAACTGTAAAATGAACCAGAAAACACTTCTGGTCAAATCCATAACACCATGTCCCAGGAGTGAATCCTCGTTAAATGTATTAAGACTGAAGCCTTGGAGAGATGAATGGAGGTGCTGTGGGCAGAACCAGGGCAGAAGGCCCCTGGCCAGGGGAGCCACTCCCCAGGAAACCCAGAGACCATCAACCTGTCACATACTTCCTGTCTAAATTCTTTAGATGTTCTCTCTGAGCAACGCCCCTAAACTGTAACTTATTCAGTTGTGACAAATGATAGTATTTATGGAAGCTCCTAGGACCAAAGAACTGTTGCAAATGGTGACCTTGAATTTGAGGCAGGTTTCCTCCCTTTGCAAATTTAGGAAGGCATGTTTCTTGTACACATTTTGCTCCCACTTGGACATAGTGAAATCCTACAACCTTCCTTCACCTACTTCACAGGTCAGACCTCAGTCTCATCATACTAAAGACAGCATGACAAGGAAAGTTCTCCCCTCGGAGGACTCATGGCCATTCCTCCCTCCCTCCCTGGAGTTCCCAGTCCCTGGTTACCTGACGTTTCCTCCAGCCTTCTGTATTCTCATTCGTTCTTCATACTGTGTTGGGTTATGCTCCTTGCTGAGGCTTAAGGCTGCATGTTTTTGACTCTCCTCATTATAACGACACAGGATTGCCTGGGAAGATGGAGATTACAACAGCAGTAAAATTCAGGAGCCCAGTGCCCAGAGTTACCAGTTGAAGACAAAGGCCAACCATGGAGTTTCAGAGTCAGCTTCCTGCCGACAAACACGAGTTCAAAGAAGAGCCCAAGTGGTAAAGTGGTGTCACAGCAACACTAGCCAGGGAGAGAGGCCCCGGTGTGGGCCTCTGTTGGGTGACTAGAGTGGGCACTCATCCTCTCTAAGATGTTGTCCTCTCATGGGTGACATGGAAAGGAGGCAGTTAATGAGCACCAAAGCCCCCTTTGGGCCCAGTTACTAGTTCCCAAGTCTACACGAGGCAAAGATGAGGGCATGCTGACCAAGTGCGTCTCCATGTGCTCCTGACACCACATTAACCATGTGGTAACTTCTGGATAAACCTGGATTTTACAGAGGAGGGAGCTGAGGCCTGGAGGATAGGTATCATGTCCAACGTCACACACAGGATTCAAATTTGACTCCAAAGTCCCCCCTCTCCCTTTGTCTTGGTCCAATTTTACTCATGCTATTTTAAGTCACTTGGTCAAAACACTTATGTATTGGAGATAGCCTACTAAGGGGACCTCCAGAATATAAACTCCACTAGGCAGGGACTGTCATCTGTAATGTTCACGGCAGCATCCCAACTGTTTATTTCTTCAGGAAATAAATCACCCTAAAAGCTACAGGGGCTGGGGGCAGCTGTCTTCAGTTCTGCAGATGGTGCTTATGGGTGGGAAGAGTCACTCTGTCACTGTGACTCCAAAGGAACACGAGACGGGGGCTGGCTGAAAAAGCTCCTGACTGAAGGCAGGGGGGCTGAACCCACCTTGCAGAAGGCCAGCCTCTGGCTTTGTTTCCCACCACAGGCTGTCAGCAGTGGGAAATGACTGGCTTTTCTCCCTTAGTCTTGTGAACTGGGCTCCTTGCATGAATGGCGCATCCCCTAGCACTTTCCTAGCTGCAGCTCTTGAGTTGTTCTAACATAACAATGATTTTGAGAGGCAAGGGCCTGTGGTCAGAGATATGAAGTTAAATGATATTCGTAACTGCACACCAATTAAATTCCAACCTATAGCACTACCCTGACAGAGTACACACACAGAAGGAAACAGAAAACAAAAAGAATGTATTTGGGTTTTAAAGCAGAAGAGGTCTACTGCAGGATGTAAGTCTTCCCAGGGAACAAAGTGACCCAAGCTCAGCTGTGGCTCCCCACCCAGAATCTACACTCTGCACTGGAGCCCCTGCACAATCCCGCAGAACATTCCGACCCAGCCTTTGTCATTGTAATCTTAGTCAACAAGCGCCTGCTGCCACTCTTCCCCACAGAACATGGTGTTAGCTAAGCGGGTGGCTCCAGAGCCGCATACCCGACTATCTCCGAGGTTGGCAATATAAAGAGTGTTGTCTACAGCCAGAACACACGTGGCAGTGGACCCATCTTTCCAGGCAGGTTTCCTGGGGGGAAAGACATCAGAAATACAGTCACCACCAACATGCTAGCACTTCGAAACTAATTTCCAGAGTTGAATGGGAAGTGGTGTAAACTTTAAAATGCAGAGTTTCCTTAATACTTGCTTTTTTTCTGTTTCAGATTTAGTTAACAATTACAAGAAATTACTTGGTGCCAGGTACTTTTCAGACAGTGAGTGTTAGTATGAAACAGAATCAGAAGATCTGAAATGCATCCAGGAAAAGAACACACACACACACACACACACACACACACACACACACACACACTTCATTCATACGTTTTCATGTGGTTTCACTTACTGGCTTGAAGCTTGTTTAAGAAACTCTTCATCAGTATGCTTAAAAGTGTCCAAAAGGCATCTCTTCACAGTTTTCTCCACACTGATTACATCTCCTATTACAGAAGGAACAAAAGAAAAACTCTTAAGGAGGAAAGGTTACCCTCCACCCACTGTCATTCTGTTTCTGAACTACGACCGAGAACAATCTGCACGGCTGGTGTGGCTCAGTGGTTGAGCATTGAACTATGAACTAGGAGGTCATGGTTCAATTCCTGGTCAAGGCACATGCCTGGGTTGCAGGCTTGATCCCCAGCAGGGCGTGTGCAGGAAGCAGCCGATCAATGATTCTCTCTCATCAATTATGTTTCTATCTCTCCCCTACCCTTCCTCTCTCTGAAATCAACAAAAACTTTTCTTTTAAATAAAAACTCTTTCCTCACCTACAGGACAGTGCCACTTGCACTGGTGGTAGTAGACTCCCAAGTATAAAGGCAGGACACACACTTGTATCACAGATATTTCAGGAGAGGTGCCCATCACTCAGAGACATGAGGAGCTCTACAGGCACACATGCTCACCTCAGAGCCCACTCCTCACAGGTTTGCTCTTACATTTATTTATTATTTTTAAATATATTATTATTGATTTCAGAGAGGAAGGGGAGAAGGAGAGATAGAAACATCAATGATGAAAGAGAATCATTGCCTCCTGCACAGCCCCTACTGGGGCTTGAGCCCACAACCTGGGCATGTGCCTGACCAGGAATCGAACTGTGACCTCCTGGTTCATGGGTTGATACTCAATCACTGAGACACCTGGCTGGGCTCAGCTCCGCTCTTTTAATTGTCATGATTTTTGTAAAAGCCCAAACGACATCTCAGTGAGTCACACAAACAGCAAACACCAAGATGAACATGAACTGATTTATTTCTATCTCACCTTTAGGAAATTTCCTGATTAAGTTCTGATGTAAATTCTGTGCAGCAAATTTTGAGGCTCGAATTCCTCCATGTCCATCAAAAACAGCAAAATAGGAAACCCGGGTACTAGGAGAATGATTGAGAGTCAATGAGATTCTCACAGCAAACATTACTCCTCTCCATTAAAGCTTTCCCATCTTATTTCAAACAGTGAACTTTGACACAACAGAGGAAGTCCCACCGGTAAGACACCAGTCACACTGTCATGAATGGAAAACAGGTAATGACACTGAGACAAATGTGTAAGTAAATTTCATAGTATTTCAAAATTAAACATGTTTTAAAAATCAAGGTCTATTAACTCTGACATTTCACTGAAGGTGAAACTAAAATTCAGGATTTTTTCTATTTAAACTAGATTTGGTTTTAAACACCAAGGCACAGATAAACAGTTACTGACCAAGTATCAAAAATATCTGTAAGGGTAGAGGGCAGGGTTGTTACTCAAACTTGGACAGATATCTAAATCTTAAAGCCTACCTCACCAGACTTATTCCTATCCCCCTCTCAAGTTTTGCCAGAAAACTCACATATATATGGAATAAATGGCATTTATAAAGGGTTTCAAGAAAAAAAATAAAATCCTTATGAGAAAGAACGTTTTTACTGCGGAGCTGCTTTTTCCAAACATTTTTGCAATATCTTTTCATTTGGGACATCATGACCCACAGGAAAAATAAACTCAGAACTCAAAACTGCTATCTTGCAGCATGGTATCTACCAGGTATGGGTTAGTGTTCCCCACCAAAGGGTTTGCCCCCCTGAGGGCTCCTTAGAAACTTCAAAAGCAACTCCATAGTACACTCCTGATCCTGGTGAGCATGAGTGCATGCATATATACACAGATGACCTTATAGGGCCATCATCTCATCTACTGGACAAAAGCCACTAGCACCAATGGCTCCAGCACACTGTATGTTAACAACCAACTGGTGTCAGTTAATGAATGTATCGTATATGTTATGTAATTATGGAAATTAGGTGGTATATATGTAAACATGTAAGTTAATGACCACCTCCACATCCCACCTTTGGGTTGCTTTTCCACCACACCCAAGACCTTATCCAGAAGGCTTCATTGAGTTTGTACAGGTTTGGTAATTTCCTGTTTTTCTTCTCCTGATGCCATTCCTGCATCTGGTTCTCTTTCTGTGCCCTCACTAGCTGCACTAGCTCTCCTTCACTGCTGTGTTCAGTGGTTTCCAGCTCTAGCTTCTGGGTCCCAGAACAAGAAAACTCCCTGCAAGCAGCTCTTCAGATTGTGGGGAAGAGAACACACCCTGAAGGCCCCCAATGTGGAGCCATTTCCCATTTATCAGGTTTCTCGATTTCAGCATGACTGACATTTGGAGCTGCACGATTCTTTGTTGTGGTGCAACCTTGGGAGTTGTAGGATTTAGCAGCATCCTGAGCCTCCCCACCAGATGCCAGTAGCACAACCTTCCACTGTGACAACAAAAAATGCCAAAGGGAAGGGGGCTAAAATCAACTGCGGTGAGAACTACCACTGTTGAACCAAGCAGCTCAAGTGTTATGTGTCAATCTTTCTAATAAATACAAAGTGGACAAAGTCCAAAACTGAAATCAGAGCTTGGTCCAGAGACTTTTAGGCCCACCAGGCTTGCAAGAGCAGGGACACTCACATGAGGGATGATAGGGGCCTACACTCCTCCGTGATGTCATTCAGGATGACATGGGCATCCTGCATCTCCTCCCGCTCGCCCTTCCGCTCAGCCACGTAGCCTTTCAAACCAAAAATCACTGAAGAGGCTAAGGAAAAGAGAACAAAAAGCCAATACAAAACTGTGCCCTGCCCTCCAGAAGCCCTAGTCCCAGAGCAAACAAGAGGGAACTCTGGCTATTTTACTCGGCAGTCTTAACAGGAAAACAAGCTCTTCTCCTCAAGGCATCTCCCCACTACAAGTCTGTAACTGAAATCAGACCACTGATGGTCAGGGCTGGTCTCTGCAAGGCTAAACAGTGGAGAGGAGACAGGCAGATGACAGCAAGTTAGTACAGGACAACTCCGTTTAAGGCATTAAAGCAAAATACCAGAGTTAAGAAATGTACTGTCATTTGAATGGGGGGAGAAGGGGTTCCAATAAATCTAATCTGGTCAATAATTTAATGAGGACAGAAAAATTCCTACTCTAGAGAAATCCAAGTAGAGTTTATCCCAAAGGTCCTGCTGGACATATGAAAATATGTTATTTTCATACCTGAGGCTTAGTGAAGAATTTGAACAACTGGTAAGATCAGCTGCTTTTACTCTAATTGAGGAAGAAAAAGATAAAGGGGAGGCACAGATGCCTCCTTCTATTGAAAAGCCTGGCTAGCTTAAGCTCACCCTTTGACCCCTAGGGCCATGCAAATGAAGTGAGCACTTACTGAAGAGCAGCTGTGGGTGGGCAGAGCTCTTTAGGGTAGGGTGCTGAAAACTCAGCTGAAGACCAGCAGAGCAAAGTAGGTCCTCTCACATACCTCCAAGTGCACCCTGCAGCTTTGAGGTGCTTTGTGGTAAAAAAGCAAACAAAACCAAAGGGGTTGGGACAGTGAATGAATCTACAACTATTTATCTTTAATAGATACTTTTCATTTCCCTTACTCTGTGACAAATTACAAAGCTGTCTACAAATTTCAATTGCTTTCCCCAGCCTTGGGCTCTTTCTAGGGAAGTTCCTACTGAGTTAACCATAGTATCAAAACGCTAACATCAGGCTGTAACAAAGACAGGGGATTTGAGAGAAATGGGTGGTCTGCAGGCTACCTGATCACTAGAAAGGGTTAAGTGAAAACTCTTGTGTTGTTTAAGCCTAGGAACAACTGTAGGTTTACTACCTGACCCAAGGTAGGGTCAGAGGCAGAGATGTCCATGGAAAGTAGAGAGAGAGAAGGCAGGAGTAAACTTCAGGAGTCTGTCTGCAAAAAGGGAGCCCTACCCAATTCTTAAATACAGACACAGAGAGGAAGCAGTATCATCAAAAAGCTGAGCTCTGGGTTGTTTTAAATTATGAAGTCTAATACATTTGTTTTCAAACTGTCTGAAAACCTTTACAAACTTTCTTTTCCACAAGCTCTTCACTGCCATTCTCCTCTTCTTCAGAGGGTTTTCTCTTTGCGCCTTTCCCTTCATTCTTTACCATCTGGGATATGGAGGTGTCAAGGGAACCTGGAAATAAAGTAAAAGCCAGACAGAAACAGCTATAGACTTACAAAAAGACCCCTGCAGATCAGGCTCCCTCCCAGCCCTCAAAGATAAAATGTCATGTCCAGCAGTCATAGCTCTGACTCCAAGGGCCAGGCCAGTGTGCCTGGGCACCCACAGTGGGAGACCACACCAACCATGAGAGGATCTGCAAGAGAGGCTTCCCAGTGGTAAAAAGAGACATCTGTACTCGGGCTGTAGCACATGCATGGTGTTGTACATCCACAGGCCCGTATTTACAATTAGGGAAGTTTCCAAAATCTGCAAAGTGACACATACTAAACAAGTTAAAAAAAACAAACAAACAAGTACCAAAAAAGGCTTAAAATGAGATAAAAGTCAGGCTTTAAGAACAGCTGCTGAAGCTATTCCCGGTGACAGGGATGAATCCTTGTTCAAAGCCAGAGCTAAGAGCACCTGCAAGGCACAAGCGTGGTGGTGGTGGTGGTGGTGATGGTGGTGGTGGTGGTGGTGGTGGTGGTGGTGGTGGAGGAGGAGGAGGAGGGGGGTGTTCTCAGACATACTATATAGACAGTGGTGGTGGGTGGTGGTGGTGGAGGAGGAGGAGGAGGGGGGTGTTTAGAAAGGTCTAACTTCAAATCCTGATTCTGCCACTCACAAGAGGGTTGCCCTTAAGGCAAGTTACTTAGCATTCAGCCTGTTTCTTCTTGGGAAGAATATGGTAAACTCAGAGGGTTGTTTGAAAACTGATGGGGACAAGTTATGTAAAGCATTTATCACAGCACTTCCTCGATCAAGTATCCAAGAAATGGTAGCTGCTGTCATGATAAATGGCCCTATGTATTCTTTGCATTTAGCTATAAAAGCATACAACTATTTACCAACTACTCTTTGCCAAGGCATTTCTGAGTACTGAGGAAAAAGGAAGATGTCTGCATTTTATAATCTGTCCTTTTGCAAGTAATTGACTCTTATTTCATACAACAGTATAACACAGCACACATACCCCACCCCATATAATATGGCAAATTAATAAAATTTCCTGGGTGTTTCCAACAGGATCTCCCAATGGTCTCTTCATTAACCTCCTTTCACTTACTGTTTGTGTGCCCTTTTCCCAATGTGTATGTAAAAGAACCTTCCTTGCTTTTAAATTGGAAAACAGAACATTTTAAAGCTTTGTTTTTGACTTCTAATAGAATCACACTGAAATCAGAGAATGTGGTCTATCTTTGTTGGGATTTTACTTTATGTCCTAGAATGTAGTCAATTTTTATAAATGTTTCTTGCCTGCTTGAGAAGAATATCTTTTCAAGAAATCCAAATAGCCCGGCCGGTGTGGCTTAGTGGTTGAGTGTCAACCTATAAACCAGGAGGTCATGGTTCAATTCCCAGTCAGGGCACATGCCCAGGTTGCGGGATCGATCCACAGTGTGGGATATGCAGGAGGCAGCCGATTAATCAATGGTTCTCTCATCGCTGATGTGTCTATATCTCTCTCCCTGTCCTTTCCTTTCTGAAATAAAAATATATATTTTTAAAAAAGAAATAAATCCAAAATACTGGATGCAAGATTGGATTCCATATCCAAAATACCTCAATCTTGTTAAGAGTAATGTTGAAATCTTCTAAGTTATTACCAATTTACTGTCTTTTGCCCTATGGACAACTAAGCCACAACTATGCTGAATCTTCCTTAGTTTTATTAAATCTGTTAGGGGCCCTGCTTGCACACAACATTCATTATAACTAAAAGCACTATCTTTATTGGGAAGATCTTTATTAGGCTAAATTGTATGAGTATGCTATAATTTTTTGGTATAGGTATGTAAGATGACTGTAATACTTTTTCTAAATACAGAAACTATAATAATTTAATCCATATTTTCTAGACTACTTCCAACGATTTTATGATAATGAATTAATAATACAAAAAAGAAGTGCACTTGACCTCCAGGGAGCACGCTTATGCCATTCCCTTTCTCTCCTCCACCGCACCCCCCAGCATATGGTCCCAGGCTAACCCCCTGAATGTCTCCAAGCCCCCCTTCCACCCCTTTTCTCTGACTTCCCAGTGAGCCAAAGCAGACTACCCCAGGCTCTCCTGTTGCTTCTTCTAGGCCAGTGGTTCTCAACCTGTGGGTCGCAATCCCTTTGGCGGTCCAAAGACCCTTTCACAGGGGTTGCCTAAGACCATCCTGCATATCAGATATTTACATTACGATTCATAACAGTAGCAACATTACAGTTATGAAGTAGCAACGAAAATAATTTTATGGTTGGGTCACAACATAAGGAACTGTATTTAAAGGGCCAGAAGATTGAGAACCACTGTTCTAGGCCCTTCTCTGTTTCACTGCCCTAAAGTATGTTTTTGCTGCAGTTAATAAATTCTTATTTGCTTTTCTACAAACAAACAAAAACCCAACAACAAACAAAAAAACAAGAGAGGTTTGAAAAGCAAGTGTTCTATTTGACAACAGACAAGGTCTTGTTACCAGAATACAATTGCATTTGAAAAAAACTGCATCCCCAACTGTTCCCAGGCCACTATACCTTCCCTTCCCCAGGGGAATTCCATGTCAGTTCTCAGTGAGACAAAGTAATAGATTCCTCATTATGATAACCTAAACTCTAGGTCAGTGATGGCGAACCTTTTGAGCTTGGCATGTCAGCATTTTGAAAAACCCTAACTTAACTCTGGTGCTGTGTCACATATAGAAATTTTTTGATATTTGCAACCATAGTAAAACAAAGCTTTATATTTTTGATATTTATTTTATATATTTAAATGCCATTTAACAAAGAAAAATCAACCAAAAAAATGAGTTCGCATGTCACCTCTGACACGTGTGTCGTGTCATAGGTTCGCCGTCACTGCTCTAGGTCCTACAGCAGTGGTTCCCAACCTTCATAATGCCGCGACCCTTTAATACAGTTCCTCATGTTGTGGTGACACCCAACCATAAAATCATTTTCGTTGCTACTTCATAACTGTAATTTTGCTACTGTTATGAATTGTAATGTAAATATCTGATATGCAGGATGTATTTTCATTGTTACAAATTGAACATAATTAAAGCATAGTGATTAATCACAAAAACAATATGTAATTATCTATGTGTTTTCCGATGGTCTTAGGCGACCCCTGTGAAAGGGTCGTTCGACCGCCAAAGGGGTCGCGGCCCACATGTTGAGAACCGCTGTCCTAGAGGAATCCACTCTATTCTTACTTCCTAAATTGGGACAGGAAAAGAAGTTAAATATTTACAGAACAGGTAGAACCAATGTTAATAGGCTCGATGAAAATAAAATTAAATCAATAAACAGAATCTCAAGAACATATGAATTGACTGGAAAATAACTACCTTAGGTCTTGAATTTCAAGACAATTCCTGCACAGGGTCTATACCAAACACTAAACCAGGGGTCCTCAAACTTTTTAAACAGGGGGCCAATTCACTGTCCCTCAGACCGTTGGAGGGCCGGACTATAGCTTAAAAAAAAACTAGTCGGGCCCTGACTGGTTTGGCTCAGTGGATAGAACGTTAGCCTGCGGACTGAAGGGTCCCAGGTTCGATTCCAGCCAAGGGCATGTACCTTGGTTGCGGGCACATCCCCAGTAGGAGATGTGCAGGAGGCAGCTGATCGATGTTTCTAACTATCTCTCTCCCTTCCTCTCTGTAAAAAATCAGTAAAAT